GGAAGCAGCAGTCAAGAAATCAAACGACGTATTGCATTAAGCAAATCTGCTGCACAGGAACTTTTTAAAGTGTTGAAGAGCAAAGATGTCAGCTTGAGGACTAAGGATGCACTTGACTCAAGCCATGGTATTTTCAATCGCCTCATATGCATGCAAAAGCTGGACAGTGAATAAGGAAGAACGTAGAAGAATTGATGCTTTTGAGTTATGGTGTTGGAGGAGAATGTTCAAAGTGCCACGGGCTGCCAACAGTTCCAACAGATCTGTGTTGGAAGAAGCGCAGCCCGAGTGCTCCTTGGAGGCCAAGATGGCCAAACTTCATCTCTCATACTTCAGACATGTTGTCAGGAGGGACCAGGATATTATGTTTGGTAAGGTGGAGGGTGAGAGAAAAAGAGGATGTCCCACCACAAGATGGAATAGCCAAGTTCCAGCATCATGGCAACAGTAGTGAGGTTGGCCCAGGATCGGGCAGTGTTTTCTTCTGCTGTGCATAAGGTCGATATGGGTCAGTATCGACTCGATGGCACCTAACAATAACAACAACAATCTTTATGGGAACAGACCACTAGGTCTTTCTCCCAAAAAGTTGAACCTCAAGTGACTCTGAAGTGTCAACCTTTTGGTTAGCAGTCGAGTGGTTAATTGTGCCATCAGGACTCCTTTGGCACATGGCCGGCACAAGAATTGATGCCTTTGAGTTATGCTATTGGCTATGAGTGTTGACTATACCATGGACTGCCAGAAGAAATGAACAATTCTGTTTGGTCCTTAGAAGTGAGGGTGGCAAGAGTTCTTCTCGTGTACCTGGGACATGTTATCAGGAGAGACCACCCAGAGAAGGACACTATGGTTGGTTCAGTAATCCCTGGAGAAGGACACCATGCTTGGTAAAGTGGAGCCCCTGCTATTGAGTTGATGCCTACTCATAGTGGCCCTATGTAGGGTTTGCAGCCTTGTAAATCTTTACGGGAGCAGACACCCTCATCTTTTATTTTCAAGAGCAATTGGTGGGTTTGAACCGCTGACCTTGGGGGTCAGCTGTGCTTATCCTACAGCACCACAAGGGAGGGGAGATGCTCAGTGAGATGGATGGACAGTGGCTACAACATGGGCTCAAACACTGTAATGAATACAAGGAAGGTGCAGGACCTGGCAGTGTTCCGTTCTGTTATACAAAGGGCCAACTGGATGGCATCTAACAACAACTAAAGAGTCCTGATATGATCCTGTAGGATAAGCCGGCGCTAGCCGCTCCTCGGAAACCCTATACAGGGTCACTATGAGTCAGAACCCACTCGATGACACTTAACAATTACCAGGCACTCACCGCAAAGTCTGCAGTTCGAGACTACCAGCTGTTCTGCGGGAGAAATATGAGGCTTTCTGCTCCCATAAAGATTGGCAGCCTCAGAAACCCTGTGCAGGGTCGCTGAGTCAGAACCGACTCCAAAGCACACTACATGTTAAGTAAGGGGAAGGGAACATGTAGACCAGAAGTCCCAACAAGATCCCTTGCCTCTCCTGCTCTGCAGAGAATGGCATGGGGGGTGGAATGGGATGCCTGTGTGCCTCTAAGGTTACAAGAGTTGCCACTGTTCCAAAGTCTCCTCCAATCAAATTCACTTTTATTCTTCTCTCCCACTTCACCTCCTATTCAATAAGCCTCTGCGCCAATTTAAATAAATAAATAAATAAATAAATAAATAAATAAATAAATAAATAAATAAATAAATAAATAAATAAATAAATAAATAAATAAATAAATAAACCACCACTTCCTATCCCTGGCAGCCCGGCCTCAGATCACTAAGGGGGTCCCTTTCCCACGCCTCCGCTCATCCATTCTCAGAAATAGGCGACCCAGTCTCTCCAGGCCTAGCAAAGTAACCCGTCGCCGCCCTTCCCGCCTTCCCGCGCTCTGCCCTCCCCCACGCACGCCAAGCCCGCGCGCTGGACGTCGGGCCTGGCGCCTCTACTGCTCTCTCCACCCTCAGTACGCATGCGCGCGCTTTGAGTCCGCGCTGAGGGAAAGGGCGGGGCCGAGGGGGCCGAGCCCGCGGGGGAGGGGTGGCGTGAGCCACGTGACGCGGCTCCACTGTTTACACGCGGAGTGGGCCCGGCGTTCACCGCTTGGCCTCAGTCAGGCGCTAGGCTCCGTTTCGGTTTCACTTCCGGTGAGGGGCCGCCTCAGAGCGGGCGGTGAGCTGACGGCGAGCGCGGGCGGTGTTGGTGAAGGCGGCGCCGCTGCCGGGGGGCGTGCGGGAGCGCAGCGGCGGCGGCGGCTGGGCCTCGAGCGCCTGCAGCCCACCTCCCGGGGGCGGGCTCCCGGCTCGAGCAGGGGCGGCGAGAAGATGGAGGAGCTGGTGGTGGAGGTGCGGGGCTCCAATGGCGCTTTCTACAAGGTACTGGCTCTGGGCAGGCCCGTCGCCGCCCTTCCGACCCTCCCTTTCTTTGCGGCCTCGGTGGGACGCAGGCCTGGGCCTGGGCCGGCCTGCCCTCCGAACAGAGTAGAGAAGGAACGCGCCGGGCCTTCGGGCACCCCCCGGGAGGCCCGGCGCCGGTGGGAGGGGACTCGGCCCGATGGGGCACCGCGCGGCAGGCCCGTCTCGTCCGGAAGAGCGAGGGCGGCGCAGGTAGAGCGGCGGGAAGGGCCGCTGTTGCCTGCGGGCTCCGGCCTGCTGCAGGGGCAGCTGCTAAGGAGCGGGGCGCCGCCCGACCGGCCCCCTGGCCTGGCAGGTTCCCTCTGGCGTCGCTCTTCGCGGCCAGAATTGGGGGACTTTAGAGAGCCTCCGTTCCAGGCGAGGTGTTTAGAACCCAGCCGTCCTCCGGACCACATCACAATGGCAACTGGGCTCGAGGGGGTCTCTCTTTGTGCCCTTTTTAGAAGACACTCCAAAGTTCAAGAAAAACCTTCGCAAAAGCTGGGCGATCAGTGCACTGGAGAAGTTGGTGATCGCGTTCAGCTTCGTTCTCCCCCTCTTTAAAAAAAAAAAAAAAAATTTATTTATTTATTTTTTAATATCGGCAAATTCAGTAATGCAGTGGCTGAGAAACCATGAGCAACTCTGCTACTCCCTTCACATTTTTTTTTTTTTAACTCCCCCAAAGTCCGGAATATATGCCACGTAACTTCAGAAAACGAATTGCAAGTGTATTATTACTAAGGAATTTTAAGAACGAAGTATTTGGAAATATTTGTTCTTTGCTCCTAGCCTGGGTCTTTGCAGATCTGCACTTTGCCTGTGTGATGTTGTAGAGGACCATGTGGTGGGGCTTTGACTAAAGCTCTCGTGATTTTGAGTATGGGCTTTGCTTTTCGAAGTCGCATTGTAGAGCATCGAATTCCTTGCATTGGACAAAGTAGAATGAAAACTAAAATTTCGATGGATCAATAGTGCATTTGTTACTCGCCCTTTACTAGAGTAATTACACGTTTTCATTCCTTTTTGAATGTGTGACTTCCATAAGAGCCCACCTTCCGACAGTATTTTGTCAATTGAAGGTGCACATGGAAGAAAGCATGGAAGACTGCTATGGCCATTGTCCTACACAGTTCTCACAATATTTATTAGAGGATAACTAACGTTTCCAATGGGCATGTTTGACTAGAAGAAAGGAAACCGTGGGTTTCACTCCTTCACTTATTATATGGAAAATGGGGGGATCAGTTTGGTTCATAATGACTCAGGGATGTAAACTGTCCCAGTAAGAACAAGAAAATTTTGTGTTGTACAAGGAGGTGAAAATTAACCCAGCATTTCTATTCTTCACATTCTCACCAGTATCGAATTTTTGATGCATTGATTGCAGTGATCCATAATTTCTGATGGTTTGTGTGGACTAGTTCTAAGTCCCTAGATTTGTAGTTTTGGTTACTGTGCGTGTGGACCTAACTAATACATCTGAGCAGGGGCTAATGATAGAGCAGTATTTTAATTGATCTGTAATACCAGCTTCTATTGGACACCACTCCTAAGTCTTTTAGGGACATTTGCAAGCCATAGAGGGCAAGTAACACATCCTGGTCTTGAAGGATTTATTGTTCTCTTCCAGCAACACATGATTTGCTCCAATGGTTTTGCATGCAAACTGACTGGATCATGAGAAATGCTCTCTATCCTTGCCATTAAGTCTCCTTTTACTGTTTTTGTTTTTTAACCAAGTAGTTTAATTTGAAGGTGAATCAAAAAAGATTGGATTGTCCCTTAGATCATTGAGAGGAAAAATGAAACTTGAGCAAATGTGTGCAGAGACATTGCTGTTGTATTTATAGGCAGTCACCGGGTTATGAAGATCTACTTACATACAAGGAACCAACCCCCAGAAAGCCTTATAATATTAAGAGTTGGAGGTACATTCAGTGGTTCATAAATTACAAACAGGAGCTGTTTTGATTTTCTTAATATTTTTCCCCCCTTAGGTATACTGACTACTAACACCAGACCTAACTGTTCCAACTTTAAGTACACATTTGATTTAAGGACAGATTAGGAATATAACTCTTTTTAAAAATCTCAACTGATGTGTATTGGTGGGGGGAAAATTCATTTCTATTGTGAAAAATGTTGAAATGTTTCTGTCACTCATAATATTGCTGTGAGTTATAAAAGTAGAGCAAAAGTAAACTGAACTGCTGCTTGTCATGTCTGGTGGGACGGATGGGAAAGATACGAAATAACACCGCTCAAAAATGAATTACTGTAAAGAAGTGTGTTGCATTTATGGGTGAAAAAAGGTAGGAGGGAAGCTGGTTCATCGAATTGAAAAAAAAAAAAAAAAACACCATTAAAAAATCTAAACAAATCAAATGGCTTTGGTGTAATTGAACACAGACTTTGATTTGCCTACCAGAGCCACCATGTTGCAAAGGACAGTTCTCCATCTTCTGAACACATGCTCCAAGTTTGCAAAATAAACCCCATAGAGTATATATGCTGGTGAGTTTCATCCTTTATCTAGAAAACTGTCCATGCTCAGGATTTAGCATTAACAGAACCATGAAAACTAGACCCTAAGGTTGTAGCGACTCATTTCTACTTTTCCTCTGCTATTCTTTTAAAAAATGTGAAAGTTAGATTAGTGATTATCAGAGCCACTACTTTTATGCTTGGCTATTTCTTTGACTGAGTCAGTCACATGTACCACTTACAGAGCCGTGAATTATTTAAGACATGAGGCACTTTGAAATATGCCTCACAAAATCTTTAAAGCATTTTCTAAGTGAATAATGTTGAAATAAGGTCTTTATTCTAAGGACATCTGCCCCAAATAGTGTCATTTTCTTTGGACAGAGAGATTTGATGTGTTGAGAATGGTAATGAATTAACTCCATTTTAGAGGTAAAATGTGCTTCACTCCAGTATGAAGCATTGACATATCTTAAGATGTTGTTGTTAGGTGCCATCGAGTCGGTACCGACTCATAGCCACCCTATGCACAACAGAATGAAAAAGTGCCCAGTCCTGGGCCAACCTCACAATTATTGTCACTCTTGAGCCCATTGACACTAACACTTTGCCAATCCGTCTCGATAACTGGGTATATATATTAATTAGAACAGTACTAAAGATTTATCAATCATGGAAGCATAAGATGCAGAGCTATTATTTTTCTGAAAAAGTAGTGACTGATACCTGATTCCTTGTAATATGCTGAAATTATGCTTGATTGTGTTTTTATTGTTAAATGAATACTTTAGTATTTCTTAAATTTTAAGGTTTTGTATCTGAGGAGAGAGACTTTCATTTGGTGAGTAGTATTATTGTAGTAGCCAGCCACTAAATATGATCAAATGAGCAATCAAAAAAAAAATTTTTAAAGAAGACATTGATTGCCTAAAATGTCATTTTGACGACACAGCCTAACAATCACTATTTTACTACAAATAGACATATAAGGAACTATTCATGTTTTCTCTGAAGTCCCTGGAGCCAACTTTGCATACAGGTGCTGTTCTGAGTTTTGTCCTCAGGAAAGTGGATTTTTCAGTTCAACTGCATTTTTCTTCTTATCTAGGTAACATTTTTCGTATTGACTATCTTTGGGGAAGCATTGTTTTTATTCACGTTTTGTGCTGTGTACTTTTCATCTCCATATTCAAGTCTTTCTGAGTGTTCTGATAACCTCCCAATTATTAACTGAATGTAGAACTCAGAGGTACAAGAATTGAGTGAGTGCCTGATTCCTGCTCACAGTGGGAATATGCTTCTTGTCATGACTGGCATCATGATTAGCAGATGCTGAGTGCTTTACCTCTGTTCATCTAGGATCCTCCCTCACAGTCCTAAGGGACTGTTGTAGTCACAGTTTCTAGATGAGGACGTTGGTGTGCAGAGAAGTTAGGTGAATGACTAGTGTCACTAAACTTCTAAGGGTCAGATGTGGGATTTAAAATCAGATCGTCTGACTTCCTGAAATGATGAAATTTACTCAAAGAAATGAATTGGATTTGATTTTCTACTGATCTTGAAATTTCATTGTGGCCTTTTATATTCACTTAATGCTGCCTTAGCCTTCTATAACTGCAGTTGGAGGTTATGTTAACCATTTTTTTTTTCACTAGATGCAAAGAAATAATAAAATATTCAGTTTATCAATTTCCTGGTTTTCACTTTTAATTAACTTGTACAATTTGATATTCTACTCTAATTTTTCATATGATGACCTAAAAGGAAAAATACAGCTAGAAATCTTTGTGCCATCAAGTTAGCTTTCATTGTTTTGGGGAGCTCCTAAGAACTGAAGCTCTCAAAAGTTAAACTACATGCACATAAGGAAAATAAATGACTCATTGAATACTTTTTTTCTCTGTACCTGCATTGATTTGGGTCAAGGCATGCCAGAAAGAGTTGTAGATGTCTGTGATGTGTAACTAACGATCAAATCAAGTGTTGTGTTGTTGTGAAGTGCCTTCAAGTTGGTTCCGACTCATAGTGAACCTGTATAGGGCTTCTGAGGATCACATTTGAACCACCATCTTGCAGTTCAAATCGACTTTGGTGTCCAGTGCTTATCTTACAGTGCTACACCAGGAGTCCTAAGTCAAGTGTTGTGCTATACTGATTCTCACTAGAGAAAATGTATATCATGGTGTAGTACTCTCATAAAGAAAATCTGCTAACGATACAGGATGGGGATATATGAAATGCAATACAAATAAGATTCAAATCAGCATTTTAAGAGAATGAATGAATGGAAAAGTACAAGTAACCTCATCAGTATAGTGCGCTGACTTCCAGCTACAACTCATGTCCAGGAATACCCGTCAGTGCCTACATACAAAGGGTGACTTATTTTATAGGGGAAGCTTTGGGCTGCTGTCTTTGGCTGTCACATTTCGTATGTCCCTGTCCTTTGTCTCCTGCAGGTTCCCTATCTGAGGGATATTTCCCAGTGCACTCCA